TATTAAATATGTATATTATAATTATAAAAAATATTATTATAATGAGGAGCGAAAAAGAAAAGGGAAAAGATGCATGTGTGCCTCAATGCAAAAGGAAGCTTTCGCAAAAGCTTGCATTTGTTCATTCTAAATTTTTTTTGGAATGAGCAATTGCATTTGTTCATTCGAAATTTTTTTTGGAATGAGCAAATGATGTGTATGAATGGTTTTGAGGATGCAGATATCCTAGATATGATATCTAAAATTACACTTAGACGACCATAGGCCATCAAAACCTATATATGCAAAAGAAGGATTTGCATATCCTAGGGTTCCAAACGACCCATTAAATCTGAAAATCCAAGTGTGTAATATCCAACTAGATTATGAAATCTGAGGATGTAATACATATATTTTTTTTGAAGCTCAGGACGTAATGCATATTATTATGATGGTTTCGATGAATAACAATTCATATTGTGATGTAATGTATTGTGTAGTCTGCCTCATGTAATATTACATTGTATAACCAATATAATATGTACGGGATAAGAGTTCTACAGTATCATATCCTGATCACACATCCGTTTGAGTGCCCTGATAGATTGTATGGGTGTTTTGTGCTTGCATGCAAACGTTTGCAAGTGTGTATGTAATTAATAAATATCTTGTGGATTTTGTACTTTTCTCTTATCCATGTCATACGCATGCCCAATGTTCTAAAAGGCAGACTGCCCAGCACCTAGGCGGTCTAGAGAGCCTGACCGCTTTGCCTAGGCCTAGGCGGTGCAAATAGGAAGCCTAGGTGCCAGGGAACCCACTTAGGCCGGCGTCCAGCGCCCAGCCTTGGGCGGCTGCGCAGGGCCTGTGCCCCGCCTAAGGGCTGAAATGCCCCTCATTCAGGGGCATTTTTGGGTCCTTTTTAATTAAAAAAGGGAGAAAATGGTGGATTTTAGATTCATTTGAAACTTAAAACCCTATAGCCCCATTTTAACAATTAAAGTGCATCTTGCGCAACAATGAAAATGAGATACATCTTGTGTTTTATGAAAATTAAAAGAAAACAATTACTGCTTCACTAGGCCGCCCAGGTTCTGGGCGTCCGCTTAGGCGCTGGGTGGCCTGGACCCCCGGCAGCCTAGGCTGCGCATGCCCAATTTGATGTTGCACCCATATCTTACCTTGCTGTCCTGAAGTTGTGATGTCTCAAAAATATTTGAGATCTTCTTCAGCACAGTGGGCCACCCAATACCAGTATTGGTGCCAATACCCTTGCACTACCTCTTGGCAACCATGGTCTTAAGTGTGGTTCTTGTGGTATTGGATGAATTAGTGGTCTAATAACCATTAGTAATTTGCTTTTTTGTCACTATATGCAAGTCATCTACGCCTTGGTCCATAAAAAGGGCCATTTTTGTAGATGGATCGCAATTTTTAGGTCATGTCAGACTAGCTTTGAGTGTTTGACATCAAATACATGAGACTCAGATCAACCGTCTGGATCAATATAGTCCTTCCCCAAATTTTGGAACCGCTTTGATTAACTTTATATAACATCTTCCATTGGGAAACTTTTGTACAGACATCTCCTCAGAGCTGACCTTTTCAAAGGTGTAATTCTTGAGTGACTTGTGGCACTTGGGAGAGAGTTACTCTGCATTTTCCAAAGTTTTGCTCAAAGAATGTGTTGGAAAGCGTGCTTTGGGATGCATTCAGAGGCATATTGTAGAGATGTACAGTCTTCTTATTTTTTCAGCTCACATTCAATATCCAGATGCCTCATCACAAGATCACCAAAGGTATAGTTAATGGAGTGACTATTGGAATTTGTGACTCCTAATATTATTGTGAATTACAAAATTCTCACCCTCCAGTTGATTGGAATCAATGATCAAAAAGTCGTCTACCTGATTGCCTGGGCAGCTTTTTGGAGAAAACGCCAAAGCGTTCTTAAGGCGGACACTATTAGGCAGCTAGAACTAGGCGTCCATGTGGCTGAAAAGGCACGAAAGGTCCACCTAGACGGTTTGCACGAGTTTAGTGGAAACGTTTTTTGGGAGGGGCAAATAATGTCATTCTACCATCGCAAAAAAATAATATTAATTCGTAATTGCTGATTTATCGAAAATGCTTTTTGCATTTAATAGTAATTAATTTATTGGGAACCCAAAAATAATAATTATGAATATGCTTTTTGAATGTAACATTAGTTATTAATTTATTGAAAAACAAAAAAAATAGTATTAATTCCGAATTACTAATTTATCAAAAATGCCTTTTGCATGTGATAGAATTAATTTATTGGGAACACAAAAATAATAACTACGAAAATGCTTTTTGCATGTAACATTAATTATTAATTTATTGGGAAATAAAAAAATAGTATTAATTTGTAATTACTAATTTATCGAACATGCTCTTTTGCATGTGATAGTAATTTATTTATTGGGACCCAAAATTATTGCGAAATTCTTTTTATATGTAACATTAATTATTAATTTATTGGGAAAACAAAAAACTAGTTTTAGTCCATAATTACTAATTTATCGAAAATGCCTTTTGCATGTGATAGTAATTAATTTATTGGGAATCCTAAAATAATAACTACAAAAATGGTTTTTTTATGTAACATTAATTATTAACTTATTGGGAAACCAAAAATATAGTATTAATTCGTAATTACTAATTTATCGAAATTGCCTTTTGCATGTGATACTAATTAATTTATTGGGAACCCAAAAATAATAACTACGAAAATGCTTTTTGTGTATAGCATTAATAATTAGCTTGTTGGGAAACCAGAAAAATAGTATTAATTTATAATTACTAATTTATCGAAAATGCCTTTTGCAGGGGATAGTAATTAATTTATTGGGAATCCAAAAATAATAACTATGAAAGTGGTTTTTGCATGTAACATTGATTATTAATTTATTGGGAAACCAAGAAAATAATATTAATTCGTAATTAATAATTTACTGAATATGCCTTTTGCATGTAATAGCAATTAATTTATAGGGAACTCAAAAATTATAACTTCGAAAATGCTTTTTGCATGTAACATTAATTATTAATTTATTGGTAAACCAAAAATATAGTATTAATGTGTAATTATTATTATATAGTACATACAATAAATGTGGGGAGGTGTGGGGGATCCAACTTTTTTTAAAAAAAATCACTGGCTGCTTTTGGGTTTGGGCCCCCGCCTTAGCGCCTAGGTGGCCCAGCCCACCCCCCCTCATTCCCCACCGCGCCTCCGACTTATTGAACATTGATTGGAATCTACTTCTTAATGAATTTCTCAAGGTAAATTTTGATGGGACTGCTGGCCTGGCAGGGTATAAGAGGATCATGAAGAATGCTTATCAAGTTTCATAAAAGTTTTTTGCTTGTATTGACTTTTAGTGGAAGGAATTATTTTCCTTCAATGATTGCTCACCCATGATTTTAACGATCCACCCACTGTTTACTATTTTAGCACTGAAAACATGGGACACAATATTCGACAACCTCAGGCTTTCATTTTAACACCCACTGTCTTAGTGTATGACTACAGACATGGATGGCTAAACTATGAAGCTGAATATTGATCTAGTTCTTATAATTACGGTGCACTAAAGGTTTACATTTGATAGTTCCATGATTTTTTCCATACCTTAAAAACTGTTCACCAAGACCATGATTCCTATAATGGCATATGTTTACTTAATATTTAGTTCATTTTTTAATTTTCTTCAGTGGCTTGTTTTCATTTTTCATCCCTCTTCCCTACCTGTTACATTTTCTTCACACATGCATGGAAGTTCTTATCCTAGTTTTAAAGCGCCATGGTGAAAGAGAGAAGTTTGCTTTACACTGCATTTACTTAATGTTTGTTCATGTCACCATTTGTAATTGGTGCTTTAGCATCTTCTTCCCTTTTATGTTTCTAGCATTTCCCATGGTCTGATTTTGTGGCAATGTTATCCTAATTTGAACTTTGGAAACAGTGTGACGAGACTCGGCGGTCAACTTGGACTCGGCTGAGTTGCTCGGCCTCTGGGCGAGGCAAATGTGCCCCGAGTAGATTGTACACCTTCCTGAGAAATGGGAAGTGTAGTTGCGCATTCCTTCTTACAATGAGAAAACTGTTTCTCCCTCTCTCTCTCTCAATCCAGTCCTATCCATCTTTCTGTAGGTCCATCCAGCCCTTCAGGACTTTTCCCCTCCCCTGCAGCTATATTCCTTGCAACTCAACTAATCTTCCTTTCTCTGTCTACTCAAACTCTTGGGCTTCTACCTCTCTCTAAAAGGGGAAATGGTGATAGAAGTGCTGAGAGCGAAACCCTAGGCATGAGCATCATGTCTTCTCTTACTCTGCAGCTCAATGAAGCATCTGCCATGGCCGGAAAAGCCCCAATCTCTCAGCCTCTCGATATGTTATCATCCCTTGCGCTCTCTCAGCCTCTCTCTCTCTCTCTGCAGCTCTCTCGGTTTCCTCCCTCCCTCTCTCTCAGCCGTTCTCTCTATTTTCGCCCCTCCACCCTTCTTTCCCCTCTCATACACTCTCTCTCTCTTCTCCTCCCCCTTTCTCTCAGTATGTGCCCCAATGCACTCTGACTTAGCCACATGCCTTCTCCCTCGCTTCCTCTTAAAGCCATGTGCTCCGTTTTTACCCTCTATTGTCACCTGCCCTTCTCTTCCTCTATTGGCCACATGCTCTATCCTTGACCAGTTGCTTTTCTCTTCCCTCACTCATCTTTCGCAGTTTGTCTCACCCTCGAGGGCTTTCTTATGGGGTCTTCTAGCTCGGGCATAACTCGCGCAAGTCACTCGGACTCGCCCGGGTTACTCATGTCATTCAAGGGGTGAGTGCCTTGACTGAGGGCAGTCTTGGCACACTGTTTGGAACATTTGTTACTCTTTTGTTGCACTGTATTTTTCTTCTACATATTAATGATTAGTTGAAGAAATGTATGCTGCATTTTATATGTAGGCCTTCTCTAACCTCTAACCTCCTTAATTTGAAATATCACTAGGAAGACATTGGCAATAGGCGTGTCACACGAAGTTCTGCCAAAAGAGGAAATGAGAGTATTTCCAAATCTGGTGTGCCTAAATTACATGGTTCTTCGGCAAAAAGGAAGACGAGCATTTCCAAACAAGGCAAGCCCAATCTATTTACATCTGCTTTTGTTGCACCTAATTTGAGGTAGAAGTTTTAAGGCTTGAGTTTCTAAATGGTCAATTATCCTTATTGATCATGGCTTCATGCTAGCTTGAAGTTTGGATCCATCACTTATTCTTATGCATCAAGAATGTTGGCGTAAATGCAGCATATTTCTTGTTCACTCTCTTTGGAACATGTATTTATCAATATGTGTATCTGCTCTGGAAAGTTGTGAATTTTACATGGTGGGATTTGGCTTCTGGTGTTCATTCCTTGTTTCTTGGCTTTGAGGAACTGTCTGCAAGTTCATTAGAAAGAATATCATACTTTTGTGGAAAATTTGCACCTTGATTTGAAGGCTGTCCTTGTTTATGAAGGTAATTGGTGACTCGTCAGAAGTAGACAACATGCTGTTGAAACCAGTGAAAGAGGTTATCATTTGGCATTTACTCTTATGAATAGAGTAATGTGATTTTAGATTAGTTAAACATCCATAGTGCATACACTAGTCTCCTGCGGGAATATACTGTACACTTACTCCCTCGGGCAGAAGATTTTTTTGATCTGAAATTTTGGGACCAACCTAAAAATCGCAAGATGTTTATATCCAAATGAGAAAAAGATTGCATTCTGAGTTTTCTAACAGTTAGATCCCACTCCTAAAAAATTAGATGGTTTCTATTCAATCTTGAGGCATTTTTTTTTCCAAGCCCATAGATAGTGCAATTTAAATTATTATTATTTTTAAAGATTAAATATAGCATACTGGTTGAAGAGGTTACATCCCCAAAAATTGGGGCCCATACTCTTAGATTGGGTTTCGCCCGAGGGATCCCTTGTGAGCATGTAACCTTTTGGCAAACATATATCACTAGTGGAGGGGATAAAAAAAAAAAGTTCCATTCTGTTTTTCACTTGGAGTCTACCAAGCAGTAACAAAGTCATTTCATTCAGTGTTGTTATGTTTTACAATCCCAACAATGCCATACTGCAAAATGATTGCAATAGCATACCTCCAAATGCACCACTGGAAGAGCTAGAAATCCAGTTGAGTAGACATTTGCCTATTTTTTGTCGAAAATCACCAGGGAAAGAGGTGATGCATTGGGGTACCCCGAATTGAGGAACCTAAGTATAAAATTCCAGTAGACAATAAAATAAATAAAAACAAAGTTAAAGAGACAGGCAACCAATGCACAAATGGAGGTTATAAACAAGGGCTGCTACTAAGACATCTGGTTTTGCAATGTAAAACCATGGACTCCCACTTTTTACTGTGATTTTTGTTTGTAGCTGGAGGTTAATGCCCATCTTCTTGTGATACATCTCTGCAAAAGTTGGCTTATAAAGCATCACCTTCTCGCCTTTTCACATGTTTAGCAGGTGTGCATGGTTGCATCTGGGGCTGAATGATGGATGGTGGCTAGAGTTCAAAATTGCCTTGTGTTCTACAATATTGAACCTCCTAATGCATAGATACTAAAATATTGCACACCAACATAATAGTATTATAGATTCATAGAGAAAAAGAAGATATTATTAGCCATGCCCTATTTCAATTTAACAAAGTGGAATTGGGATATGATAAAAAGTCTTGATGGTCATTGTTTGGTGATGGGTGTTATTCCGTAAGTTTATATCTTTTGAATGCTGAAGGATTGTGCAGAGGTTGTTCGTAAGAGGTTTTTTGAGTTGGGTGCCACAACATTGCTATTCGGTGCAATAAAATTTAGCTCGCATTTGGCTCTGTGGACAGGATGATTTACACCATCTGAAGTTTGTTACGTTGCAGTGGCACCATAACCATGTGGGGTGGAATACCACCATCTGCACTCTTTCGATAATTTATGGAATTATGGATTCTTGCCTGCCAAAGCTCCAAGGCTTGGGCTTGAGTTGTTAGCAGCTGATGTCTAACAGCGCTGCATCTCAAGTTTGATTCCTACCACTGAACTACTCGAAAAAAAAAAGAAAAGAAAAGAAAAGAAGAAAGAAAGAAAGCCACAAGTGTTCCAATTATTTAAACTCTTCAAGTCTAATGTATTTCTTTGTGCTTGGATATTCTACTATACATGGGTGCAATTCTGTCAAAACGGTTGCTAATGTTAATTTCCTGAAATTTTGTATTGGTACATTAGTTAAGATTATTTTATCACATTTTCAGAAATACTACTGTGGACTTATTGGTCTATCTTCAAAATGTACATCTGCAAATGTGGTCAGAAAATGAGCTTGCCAAGCTTACTAAAAAGATTACCAGTTAAGGTTACCATAGACTGGCTAAAAGATAAAAAAATGATGAGAAGTTAAAATGAGCTTTGAATTAACCAAGATACATCTGCAAAGATGCTACCAATCATTTTTAGGAAAGTAAAGAATCAAGGCATGAAGTGATGGTAAACATCAAGTCTAAAGGTATACGTTTTTATGATTTTATATGAGTTGTATTTCTAATTATTAACAATAGCAGCGAATATGTCTTGACATAGCACATTTGATGTGCCTCAAATCGGGAAGATCCCTCGTCTTGTCTACAAGTTTTGTACGATTTGAAAACAATCCAAAAATTTCGGTGTCCCCGGAACATAGGAGCTTTATTGGTCCCCGGAACATATGTGTATGAGAGAGAGAGAGAAATACATATTTTTTGAGTAGTTCAATAGTAGAAATTGAACTTACGATGCAGCGTAGTTAACATCAACTGCTAACCACTCAAGCCCAGTTTCGATTCGCAGGGAGGGAGAATTAATATTGGAACAAGAAATGCACAAGACCTAGTACAACCAACTACACATACATTGCATGGTAACAACGAAGCCCCTCATATACTAAGAACAAGGGATGAATCTAAATAAGGAATCCCAAAAGGCTTGGCAAATCCGATCCTTTTTTCTTGAGTGAGGTAGGCAAGCTATAGATCACGACCCATCTTGTTGCGGTACATGTCTTTGAAAGTTATGGGCTCATCAAGTATGGCCTTCTCTCCTTCCTCCAGCTTTAGCGGATACACCATGGCTTCTGGAGCTGGATTATGAAAGGTGGCAATCGAGATCCGGCTTTGCTCAGAGTTCACCACCACTTGGTGGTCTGCATTCTTGAACTTGCCATTACTCAAGAACTACGTTTGCACACAAACCATTAAAGTTTGGACATAGAAGGGGAAGAAAAAGACTACAACAAACTCGTGTTAGGCATAAGAGAATGATAAATAACATACTTTTTGCCACCTTGATTTCGCATTTAATGGTTAGGGGTGATTGCCACCTGATTTCGCATTTAATGGTTAGGGGTGATATGAAGACAACTATTATAAATAGACATGAAAGACAATACAAAATTAACTAGTGATAAATTACCCTGCAGCTTGATGAAAGTAAATAATAAAATTTTGATCCAGGACTTTATTTACTGTCAAACCGAAGCTTTAGGGCCGATTTGATTACTGGAAACTGCAATTTCTAAGAAAATTATATTTTTTGAAATCCTGAAGTTGGATATTGTGATATCTAGAATCAATAAAGAGTGTCTGATGACCAGCCTAGAATTCTAAAAAGACTAGTGCCTGTGTTTGATTGAACCTAGAAATTGGGAAACTAGAAAACTAGGAGACTTGAAAATGAGCCAGTTCTAATTGTTCATTAAATTTTCATCATTACAAGTTAACAAGGCCATTATAAGCGGAGTTGGTAACTAATCACGAATGAGATGCTTAATCATGTTTCAGAATGAGATAAAATTTGAAGAGGGAGTACGGCCTAACACGACTTTCAAAACACGATAATAGCCCAATAGCTGACCTTTTTCTCCCCATCACCATCCGTTACTTCAACGGACAAGATGGCTTAATGGATTATGACTCCTTCATAGTCCTCTATAATTTTCCATTTCACAAATAAACGGCTCCTACCTCATTGACAGTTATTTCAGAAATATTAAAATTACTCTAAATTTATCATGATAAATTTTATTGTCGATAATGACTTCGATAGTTTTTCAATAGAACGGATTTATCACGATAATTAGGTATTGTGTTAGGGATTATATACAATGAGACCATTTATCTTTATTACGAGGAGGTCAAAATTACTCCTACTTATCATATGTCAAACTAGATGGCTTGGACTAGTCACCAAGTTCGAGTGTTTTTTTTTTTGTCAATTTTGAATCTTTTTAATGGAACTCTTACTATCACTCAATTTGAAATCATAGGGAAAGAGTGATTATGACATCTTTGTACAAAAAGTAAATAGTATATTTGCTTACTTTTGCATCTTGTTATTATCACAATCAATAACTTTCTTAATAAAAACTTCTATGTAATATAAAAGTAAAATTAGCAATTTGAATTAGAGCCTCTAAATTTTTCTCTCTTGACTTTTAAGAGCAGGACAATAGGGGAACAATTTATATCCATACAACCAAGAAAAGCTTTTTGATGTGTCCATGTTCTAGGATTTTGGATCTAAAATTTGTCACAAGATGATAATCTCGATCACTATGGTTGTGAATCTGAAAAAAATAAAAATAAAATAAAAATAAAATAAAAATAAAATAAAAATAAAATAAAAATAAAATAAAAATAAATGAAATAACGAATAGTCCAAATGAAAACAAATTTTAAGAATGTCTTTCAAAATTTTGAAACTTATTTTCTTTTAGATTTGTCATTGCGGGGTCAAACCATCACAGTTATGAATCTGAAAAAGAAAATAAAATTTAAACCTTACAATATATAATTTTAAAGTAATTAATACGAGCGGTCAAACAACAATATGAACGTGAAATCAAAAGTCATTTATTTTAAACTTTAATATAATTTCTGTTTAAACTTATAATTATTATGGTGGTGAAGATTATCGGCGTAATTCATGGATTTTGGAAGGAGCGGGAGCTGACTTTTCTAAACCCGTCCCCTAAAACGTTAGTGCAAGTAAAGGTGGGTGAAGCACTTACATGGGCATGGTCACCTAAGTTTACAACGAGAGCACCCTCAACTGGCAGCACAGTGATCCAAGTCTTCCCACCGTCCTTGGTCGCCTGCAACCCCCCCACCTGGTCCTGCAGCAGCAGCGTTACAATCCCCGGATCGGTGTGCCGCCTCAGCCCCAGCGTCATATCCGGCTGCGGGCACTCCGGGTAGTAATTCAGCACCAGTCTCTGATCCACACGTCCGCAGGCATGAACCATGACTTCTCTGTCGAGCCCCAGCCCGTGAGACAAGACCTCTACAATTTTGCATCCCAATTCCCTGAGCCGTGCACTGTATTCATCCACCACCTCTCTCCATCCCTCTGGCTTCTCAGGCCACTGAGAGTAGTCTCGCGCTTGCACCGGGTACGTAATATAGATCATGAGCTCCCGCCAGTCCATCACGGCCTCGTCCTCATGCACGTGGCTGCTTACAACGAAGCCTCCGGGTTTTCCTTGAGAGATACTGAAGCGTTGTTTCTCATGGAGGGGGAGGGAGAAGAAGGCCCTGGTGAGGGCAGTCATTTGGGCCATGAGGGCTGGGTCGATGCCATGGTCGACCGCTTGGAAGATGCCCCACTCTTCGAAGGCTTGTGTAAGCTGCTCACTGATAGCAGCGCGATGGATGGAGCTGTTGAGATTGGCCAGAGAGATGATTGGAATGTCTTGGCTGAAGTCGTTGTAGCTGATCTTGGGGCGTTCATCCTCGCCTCGGACGAAGACTGGGCTCACTGTTTTCTCTTTGGTTGGGGTGCCTGGCCTTGTAAACTCTTGCACCAATGATACCATTGTTGAATCTCTCTCTCTCTCTCTCTCTCTTTCTCTTTAGAGGGGGCTTAGTGTTGGTAAATATAGAAATACGCCGAAACTGCATTGATCATTCCTGTTTATTTTTAATTACGGTGGAACGGGTCATTCCATGCCCATTAGAGTGCAATGATTCGTGCTTTTTCACATTATTTGGGTTGGCGAAGGTCTAATTTGGTAGTGGGTGATCCGTGTGTCGAGGGTCGGTGGGTCTAGATATAAAATTATAAATTACGGAAAATGATTGAAGCCTTCCATACCGTCCATTAATTTCGATGGTCCCCGTCGGTGGGTCTAGAAATAAAATTATAATTTTTTTATAGTATATAATTACGGAAAATGATTGAAGCCTTCCATACCGTCCATTAATTTGTATGGTCCATTTCTTTTACACCAGTGATAATACTGCATTTTCTGATAGAAGTTTATTTTTTTTCTCTTTTTTTCTTAAAACCATGTACCCTTCCACTCCCTTTGAATCTCCTGTTCTCTGTCACCGCTTTAAGGCCCTCTATGATGTCCTTAAAAAATCAATAGATTCATTATAATTTGCACCTAATTCATTGTTATTCTTGATTTCCTCTTTTTTCTCTCTATACGTCCTCTTTAAGACCCACTGTCTAATTGTGTTTCTAGTAATATAGAGCAAATCAAATTTTTTTTGGTCTCCCATAGGATCAGAAAAACATTGTATTTGCCAATGTTACAAGACAAAAACAAGTAGCAATTCTGGTAATTCATGCTAGCAAAGGGCATGGAAAACCATGTGGTTTTCAATGAAAGAATCCCAAAGCATGAACTTAGAATCAACAGGTAATAATCCTGCATCCTTAAACTCGATTCTAGAATCTTTGGAAATTTTGCTGCCCTAGTTAAAGACGATTCTATGCATTCTCTTTCTTGCCAGTAACCCCTTGGACACAAGGGAGACCATCAGATTTGTGAGGCTCCTGTATGAAGAGAGAGGGAGAGTGAGTGGCCTGGTCATTGTTTACAAATAACTTAAATAGTCTCTATCCCCGTTGAATATACAGTCAAAGGCAAGGTTCTAAACAATCAAATTAGAGCAGCTATGGCTATTAACTGTTTCATAATAAAGATTATCTTTATGTCCATTTGATAGACCTCAAAGTCAAAGTGGGCAGCTATGGCTATTAGGATTCTAATGGATGGAAATTTTACAACTAGGGAGAAAGTTTCCTCTTAGTATACCCCTTTTTTTAAGATGAATCCCTTAGCTACTAACATAGCTTTGTATTTCTTTAGTTTCTCCTTTGAGTTAAGCTTTTTCTTGAAAATCCAATTGCATCCTATTGCCTTACAGTCTTGAGGTAGAGGTACTAATTCCCAAATCCCCTCATAATGTTTCCCTAGGTAGGTGAAGAATTCAGGTTGTCTACCAATTCGGGTACGTCTCCTAATAGGTGGTTTGGGTTCTCGAGACTCAATCTTGTCACTTGCTATCTCAAAGAGATCGGCTTGCTTATGAGTTTTTTTTGCATTAAGGAAATCATCCTCAAAGAAAAGGGTACCATGACTTTCTATGACAGCCCCATTATCAAGGTTGAATAATCGATACCTCTTACCATAATTAGGGTAACCAATGAATATACATTTGATAGTCTTAGGATTTAGTTTTGTCCTATTTTGGTATGAGATTAGGATATGAGAAAAACAACCCCATACTCTTAGGTGTTCGAGTACGAGCAGTGAAAATCTAGTGAGGAGTAAGACGGCAGTAATAGTGGGCGTACGGTTTAAGATGTATCATGTTGTCAATAGTGCTTCTCCCTAGAAATCTCACGAGAGCTTTGCATGCCCCATCATGGTCCTCACCATTTCTACCAAATTCTGTATCTCGACAACTCCATTTTGGTCAGGTGTGTAAGGCATGGTGTATTGATGAATAATACCATTCTCCACACGCAAGTCTCTAAAGAGTTGTGAAGAGTATTCAGCGCCTCTATCGGCTCTAAGTACTTTGATTTTTCAGGTTTGTTTGATTTTCTACATCGGCTTTGTATTATTTGAATTTCTTTAAGGCTTCGGATTTTATGTATATAAAGTATACATGGCCATATCGCAAGTGGTCATCAATAAATGTAATGAAGTATCTTTTGTGGCTTTTGGTAGCCACATTCATAGGACTGCTATCGTCGCCATAATATTACTCCCCTACACCATAGTAACAATGAATGAAGAACTTGTGCTCGGTCTGCACATCTTTGTTGTGATGGCTTCGTAAAAAATGTCAATTATATGATTTAATATATGTAAGTTCGTTGAGGGCAAGTCCTCAGTGGCGTCACTGGAGGACTCATCAAATTTTTTGGCAACATGTTTTTGGCCAGGTGGGTTTGATGTAATACCTCATGCAGCACAAGATCTTGTTGCTACAAATTGTAATTTCATTTTTGTTAATTTTTATTTTTAGCGATGTGGATAGACTTTTTAACCTTTTTTAGAAATAATTTTTTAGAAATAGGATTAGTATGAGGGTTTTTTTGGTTTAGTTTGATGAAGTCTACTGTTTAGAAAATACGTTTCTTTTTAGAAGTGAGTCAATTTATTTAAATTTCAAATAAGAGCCTATCTTTTCTTTTTTTAGAAACGATAAGTATATTTTCTTGATTGAATGGGGTCCGTATTTTATTTTGGTCAGTCAAGATGTTTGCTTCCAAAGTCGTTGTATTTTTTTAGATTCCATTGTAGAAAGGCTTGGAGCAAATCTTTTAGTGGTTTGCTTCCTAAGATTAAGGTTGGTAAATTTCTTTTTAGGTGGAATGGCATGGTCTTTAGTTAGGCGGTTATCCAATGAAAAAAAGGAAATCCTATCGGTATAAAATAGTGTTTAAAAAAATGGATAAGTGACTTGAACCGGTATCACCCATATCCGTGTCGGATCAGTGGATTGGTTTCGAGAATCGGGTGAATTGGTAATTTTTGTTTCAATTTTTTTTCAAAAAATCACTTTAGATCTCTAAAAATAGTATTCTTTTAGTTTCTAAAAGAAATTAAGCGTGAAACATTATGTACTTTCATTACTTTGTAAAAATAGGTGAATACTGAGAGTTTGTTTACCTTTCTGGATGTCTGGTGTGTCATAAGGTTAAATTTGAACAGTTTCAACAAGTCTACGTGGCTCAAAAATCAACATATAACGACCTTTCCTTGAGAGCTTAATATTTTCGATGCATAATCGTTATGTTTTGATTAGTGCACTAATCGATAGGTCCCCGGATTGTGTTTACAACATTCAGGTCGAATAAGGTGGCGGGACTAATACAAATTTCATCTTAGTGTAGTTTAAAACTTGATGACGATTTTCTCCAACCAAGGGAGAATGATGCATATCAAAATCTGGTTGCTACAAGTTGTAATTTTATTTTGGACAGGAAAGAGGTGGCCTCTCGGGTCGATAACAAAGATACTACTCACATGGCGAAATTACCTGCCTCCCTTTGCAATGGAGGTATTGACCCAATATAAATTTATTGGTGACTAACACTCGGCCAATATAACCGCGTTTTAGAGAAAAAAATAAAGACTACGAAGAAAATCACAAACGAAAGGAATGAACGTGCGGATCCAAATCGTTTGCTACGGCCCACAAGCAGAAAAAACACTTCAAGAAGCGCATCACTATAATAAAAACAGACTATTTCATTCGATAAAAAATTCACCCCTTTACATGGTGCTGCCTCTTTCTTTTATGGTAATAGTAATTCCTTTCTGTCATTGGATAACCACCTCACTAAAAGATCATGCCATTCCTCCTAAAAGAAATCCACCGTCCTTAATCTTAGGAAGAAAACCACTAAAAGTTTTGCTACAATGAACGCTAAAAAAAATTATGACTTAGTAAGCAAACCTCTATAATGACTTGCCAAAATAAAATGCGGACCCCACTCAATCAAGAAAATAGACTTATTTTTTCTGAAAAAAAAAGAAAAGATAGACTCTTATTTGAAATTTAAATAAATCGACTCACTTCTTAGAGAAAACCTCTAGATTGACTTCCAAACTTAAAATGTAGAATTATGGTGCATCTAAGAAATTCATCGTAAAATATTGTTTTGAAGTTGGAAAATCTTCTAATTCATCATCTCGACATTGAAATGTATAAGTATGAAAAGAAAAAATATTTGGAGTCTCCAAAATAGTGCATCTTGCAATACGTTATCTAAACCGTCCATTTTTTAAGATTTTCATGTGTTTATACATCTATTTGATTTGAATCAGTTTTGGGGTTAAATTTATGGCTAAAAAAGGGGGATCACAAGCGATCTCTCTGTTCATTTTTTTTGTTTTTTAAACAAATGTTATCAAAATTTTATTCCTAAAAAAGGGGGATTACAAGAGATCTTCCAATTCATTATTTATACCGACTCGGTGGAATGTCTCTCTGTCTCTCTATGGAACTGTTCACTTTGCATTTTAGAGTGCCAAGAACACATGATTCATGCCTTTACACATTATTTAGGCCATTTTGCAATAAGAGTTCCATGAATACATGATTCATGCCTTTTCACATTATTTAGGTTGGCGAATGTCTAATTTGGTAGTTGGTGATCCGTGGTTAGTAGTGAGTAGAGGTTACCTTCATCCTAGAGCATACCTCCATATGCAACTTACACGAACCTCTTTATATCCACGCTTCCCAACTGTCTGTAGAATATTTTTTTTTTCAAAATTACCCTATTTTTGAAAATTTTTAAAAAAATCGGAACTGCAAGATCCAAATTGCTCTCTTTTTAGATCTTTAGGATACCAAGAAAAAAAAAAAAAATTTGGACCTTCAAAGCACAAAATTTCGCGGAATAAAAGAAAGCAATTCAGAACTTCAATGTCTAAAAATGCCCTATTTTTGGATCTTTAGGATCTGAAAAAATAAAAAATTAAAAAAATTGGACCTTCAAAGTCAGAAATTTCCCTATTTTTTAATATTAATTTTCCTTATTTTTTATTTTGTAATTGTTGGATTTTGGA